GTGAAGCCATACCCATGCATTGGATATTCATAATTAGTTTGTCACAGACATTTTACTTGGTATATTGACAGATGCCATGGAGTCAATGTGGCAGAGACGCATGGGAAGCCTTTTCACAGTTAGTATATTTCTACATTTTTCGCAGCATAAAGCTGCTTCTTCAGGAATGACGGGAATCACAACATCTACAGAAAAACAAAACAAATGAATACATACATACTGTGTAATGCACGTATATCTCCAAAAGACGTGCCCCAAGGCAGGGATCTATAAGGCTTACCCAGGGTTAGAAATTGGACCCATACACCCCGGGCTAGAGTCCAGGGAGCCACACAGACAGATCCAACACTCAATAAAAGCTGTAAATAGAAGAAAAATCAAATTACAGTAAATGGTAGCCATCATAGGAGCTACAATAACGATCCTACTATATCCAAAAAAGAACCTACCAAAAGGATCTGATGTCAATGTTTACATGTGGACCACATTGAGGCGGGACATGGGAACATTCCAGGCCTTTCCAGTTGTGTGCTCATTATGGTAAATGGCAATTCGGGTGCAAAAAAACAATCCAGCATGGAGCCTCTTTAGGAGCCTGCACCAGAATGGTAGGAGACATAATTCTTACATGATATTACGTCCCATAACCTAGGACAGTGGTGGGCAACCTTTTTTTTCAACTGAGCCAAATCTCGCCAAAACCACGATTGAAATTTATTTTGAGAGCCACATTTTTAAAACTGAAAATACATCCCCCATATAGTAATTCATCCCCCATATAGTAATTCATCCCTCATAGTAATTCATCCCCCATATAGTAATTCATCCCCCATATAGTAATTCATCCCCCATAGTAATTCATCCCCCATATAGTAATTCATCCCCCATATAGTAATTCATCCCCCATATAGTAATTCATCCCCCATATAGTAATTCATCCTCCATAGTAATTCATCCCCCATAGTAATTCATCCCCCATATAGTAATTCATCCCCCATAGTAAATTCATCCCCCACATAGTAATTCATCCCCCATAGTAATTCATCCCCCATATAGTAATTCATCCCCCATAGAGTAATTCATCCCCCATATAGTAATTTATCCCCCATAGTAAATTATCCCCCATATAGTAATTCATCCCCCATAGTAATTTATCCCCCATAGTAATTCATCCCCCATATAGTAATTCATCCCCCATAGTAATTCATCCCCCATAGTAATTCATCCCCCATAGTAATTCATCCCCCATAGTAATTCATTCCCCATATAGTAATTCATCCCCCATATAGTAATTCATCCCCCCATATAGTAATTCATCCCCCATAGTAATTCATTCCCCATATAGTAATTCATCCCCCATAGTAATTCATCCCCCATATAGTAATTCATCCCCCATAGTAATTCATCCCCCATATAGTAATTCATCCCCCATAGTAATTCATTCCCCATATAGTAATTCATCCCCCATAGTAATTCATCCCCCATATAGTAATTCATCCCCCATAGTAATTCATCCCCCATATAGTAATTCATCCCCCATAGTAATTCATCCCCCATATAGTAATCCATCCCCCATAGTAATTAATCCCCCATATAGTAATCCATCCCCCATAGTAATTCATCCCCCATAGTAATTCATTCCCCATATAGTAATTCATCCCCCATAGTAATTCATCCCCCATAGTAATTAATCCCCCCCATAGTAATTAATCCCCCATATAGTAATCCATCCCCCATAGTAATTCATCCCCCATAGTAATTCATCCCCCATATAGTAATTCATCCCCCATAGTAATTCATCCCCCATAGTAATTCATCCCCCATATAGTAATTCATCTCCCCATATAGTAATTCATCCCCCATATAGTAATTCATCCCCCATAGTAATTCATCCCCCATATAGTAATTCATCTCCCCATATAGTAATTCATCCCCCATATAGTAATTCATCCCCCATAGTAATTCATCCCTCATAGTAAGTCATTCCCCCATATAGTAATTCATCTCCCCATATAGTAATTCATCCCCCCTATAGTAATTCATTCCCCATATTGTGTCAATTCACTTACCTTTGCTCCGCGCGTTCCTCTCGCCGTGTTCCCGCGCCGTTCCGGTCTTCAGGGCGGACTGTGAGAGGAGAGGAGTTCGTCACGCTGCCCCGCCTGCACCCTGGCTGCCCCGCCTACATCCTGACAGCCAATATTTGCCACGCTCCGCGGGCCGGATTAAAAGGTCCGCCGGGCCGTAGTTTGCCCATTGCTGGGCTAGCTGCAGAGTCCTGACTTTTGGGGCGGCCGCCCGCCCGAGAGGAGGGAGGGGAGCGGCCGCCCGGCACACAGAAGAGCCGCATTAAAGAGTGCAAAGAGCCGCATGTGGCTCGCGAGCCGCAGCTTGCCGACCACTGCCCTAGGACACCAAAGCAACCCAAACAACATTACATTAGTTCTGTTGTAGAACAATAAACTAATACACTGACAATGGGCATATCTGGAAGCATTGCCCACTAGACGTCAGATGTTACCAAGTGGCTATAATATCCTCTAGATTCATAGAAGTATAGCCTAAACAAAAAGCCAAAAACGAATTTAGACATACACAGAAGTATTAAGCCGTGTGATATGTGTATAAATATATCAAGATGATGCATGTAAGGATAGGACATGTTAAATGCTACATATTAAGGAACCAAAACATCAGCTTAGATAACAAAATGTGTACAAACCAGAGCAAATGTCCCACCACAGCATCGGTCCACCATCAACCGCTACAAGCCATAAGTCTTTATCTGCCTTATATGTGCCTCCAACCCGGAACAACTAGCCGGCTCATTGAGCTCAGCCATGACAGGACCTCAAGTGCGTATGCGTGGACTCCAGCCGAGCACATGCACTGCCCACAAGGATGGCTGCCGGATGCAGGGCGAAAGCCACCGCATGGATGAACATGGATGGAGACTTAGCAAACCAGCATGGAACGCACGGCTAAACTGGAAGTCCGGTGCAGATACCAGATGTGGGATGATGTCAGATGTATGGGTGTGGCTACGCATTTCAGGGCCATTAACAAGCATTGAACCCATGTATTCAGGGAGGATGGCCACTTCCAACGCCAAGAGTGTGGCTTTAATAGAAGCTGGTTTGGTAAATCTCACCATGGAGACACCATGGATGCAATGTACCTGCAGGGAAATCCTGAATGATGCTGTGTGCCCATTAGCTCTGCTCTCCCTCATCAGGACAGCACTGAAGGGGGTTTCCCATGTAAAAACCCACCATGAACCACGCTCAAACTAGAAGACACGGTGTTAATGCTGAGGGAGTTTGCAGTAAAACTTGAGTTTGAGTTGAACTGGTTCTGGCAGCCAAGTCTTGGGTGTCATAGTTATAATAAACAGACCCTGGAAATTTCATCAGAAAGACTAAACACGCATGTTTCCATACAATTATGCTAATGAGGCCTTGTGGCTCAGTGTCTTGTTCCATTGGTCGTATTTTTAGGATGGTCACCTTCATGGTTTCTAAGCCTGAGAGAAAGGATCTCCATCACCGATCACATAACTCACACCGAGCTCAAGTTCACCCTGGTAGCATTTTTTGCCTTTTTTGTGTTCTTCGTCTGATGAGTTACATTTAAAGACAAAGTTTTCTATTTGTTACATTATTGATAGTGTAGGAAATGGTTAAATCAACCATTCTATCCATGGTTTCTTGAAACCGTAGGGTTCCTATAGTAGTTGATAGGAGTTCCTTCAGCTATAGCTTACTGACTTCCCATTGGATGGTGCTTGCATACAGTGGCATCATTAGGGTTGGTGTCACCTCCGTCTTTGTGCCCGCTGGGGACATTCACCGACTTGTCCTGGCGGCCATTGTCCTCAAGACAGAAAGAGAGGGGAAACCCAAAAATTGACAGTTGGATCAAGAAGAAGTGGTGAGCATTGAGTGGTGAGGACACCTTCTTACAGGAGCTTTCGAAGACTAATAGTACCCGCTGTCATGGCGTGGCGAAATTATACCCTGTGTCACATCTCAAGTTAATGGGACTATTCCACAAACATGAACCAAACTCTTGGCTTGAAAAGACAGTGCAATACTCCCTTTCAAAATCCCCATTTGGCCGAAACAAGGGATTCAACAATATTGCCTCCTGACTGCCGGACAACCACTGGCACCCAACATGGCAGCATACATGTCGTAGTGTGCTGCTATGGATTGGCACCAGGAAAGGAAAATTACAGTATGTATTTGATACAATTTTCCAATGCAAGCCTAAACGAGCCCTGAGGGGGCAATTCCCCTTACTTTGTAGGGATTTTCGCTCACTTCCTGTTAAGTCTACAGGACAGGAAGTGAAGAAAAATCTCCCCAACCAGGCAAAGACAGCAACACATAAACTAGCGGGGCTTTTAACCCTTTTCTACTCTGTCCAAAACTGAAATTAAATAGTTTAGGCTATACATTACACTTTATTTATTAGCCAACTCCTTTATAAATTAAAGGCAACTAAAAAATGATTCCTTGCAGTTGTGCTGGCTTGTTTTCATCTATGGCAGCGTTTATCAACGTTGTTATCCCAGAGGAACCACTGAAATAATTTTCTGTAAACCTGTTAAGATAAATTTATAGGAGCTCAATGGGAAGAATGTCCCTTACATTGGGGGTCATTGGGAAAGAATGTCCCTTACATTGGTGATCAGTGGGAAGAATGTCCCTTACATTGGTGGTCAGTGGGAAGAATGTCCCTTACATTGGGGGTCAGTGGGAAGAATGTCCCTTACATTGGGGGTCAGTGGGAAGAATGTCCCTTACATTGGGGGTCAGTGGGAAGAATGTCCCTTACATTGGTGATCAGTGGGAAGAATGTCCCTTACATTGGAGGTCAGTGTGAAGAATGTCCCTTATATATTGGTGTCCCCATCAGAGTGCCCCTCACACAAGGTGTCCCAATCAGAGTGCCCCCTTACATCAGGCGCCCCCATCAGTGTGTCCCTTTACATCAGGTGTCCCCATCAGAGTGCCCCCTTACATCAGGTGTCCCCATCAGAGTGCCCCCTTTCATCAGGTGCCCCCATCAGTGTGCCCCTTTATAACTGGTATCCCCACCAGAGTGCCCCCTTACATCTGGTGTTCCCATCAGAGTGCCCCCTTACATCTGGTGTCCCTATCAGAGTGCCTCTTTACATCAGGTGCCCCCATCAGAGTGCCCCCTTTCATCAGGCATCCCCATCAGTGTGTCCCTTTACATCTGGTGTCCCCATCAGAGTGCCCCCTTACATCAGGTGCCCCCATCAGTGTGCCCCTTTATAACTGGTATCCCCCACCAGAGTGCCCCCTTACATCTGGTGTTCCTATCAGAGTGCCTCTTTACATCAGGTGTCTCCATCAGAGTGCCCCCTTACATCAGGTGTCCCCATCAGAGTGCCCCCTTACATCAGGTGCCCCCATCAGTGTGCCCCTTTATAACTGGTATCCCCACCAGAGTGCCCCCTTACATCTGGTGTTCCCATCAGAGTGCCCCTACATCTGGTGTCCCTATCAGAGTGCCTCTTTACATCAGGTGCCCCCATCAGAGTGCCCCCTTTCATCAGGCATCCCCACCAGAGTGCCCCCTTACATCAGGTGCCCCCATCAGTGTGCCCCTTTATAACTGGTATCCCCACCAGAGTGCCCCTTTACATCAGGTGTCCCCATCAGAGTGCCCCCTTTCATCAGGCATCCCCACCAGAGTGCCCCCTTACATCAGGTGTCCCCATCAGAGTGCCCCCTTACATCAGGTGTCTCCATCAGAGTGCCCCCTTACATCAGGTGTCCCCATCAGAGTGCCCCCTTACATCAGGTGTCCCCATCAGAGTGCCCCCTTACATCAGGTGTCTCCATCAGAGTGCCCCCTTACATCAGGTGTCCCCATCAGAGTGCCCCCTTACATCAGGTGCCCCCATCAGTGTGCCCCTTTATAACTGGTATCCCCACCAGAGTGCCCATTTACATCAGGTGTCCCCATCAGAGTGCCCCCTTTCATCAGGCATCCCCACCAGAGTGCCCCCTTACATCAGGTGTCCCCATCAGAGTGCCCCCTTACATCAGGTGTCTCCATCAGAGTGCCCCCTTACATCAGGTGTCCCCATCAGAGTGCCCCCTTACATCAGGTGTCCCCATCAGAGTGCCCCCTTACATCAGGTGTCTCCATCAGAGTGCCCCCTTACATCAGGTGTCCCCATCAGAGTGCCCCCTTACATCAGGTGCCCCCATCAGTGTGCCCCTTTATAACTGGTATCCCCACCAGAGTGCCCCCTTACATCTGGTGTTCCCATCAGAGTGCCCCCTTACATCTGGTGTCCCTATCAGAGTGCCCCCTTACATCAGGTGTCCCCATCAGAGTGCCCCCTTACATCAGGTGCCCCCATCAGTGTGTCCCTTTACATCAGGTGTCCCCATCAGAGTGCCCCCTTACATTAGGTGTCCCCATCAGAGTGCCCCCTTACATCAGGTGTCCCCATCAGAGTGCCTCTTTACATCAGGTGCCCCCATCAGTGTGCCCCTTTATATATGATCAGTTATACCCATCAGAGTGCCCCCTTACATCAACTGTCTTCCTCAGACTGCCTCTTGGATCAGTGGATGAACTCTCAGAGACCTGAGGGGGGCACAACTAAAAAATTGAGAGTCACAGCCCACCCCAGCACCCCCTAGATCCAGCCCTGGTGTCCAATCTCAACTCTCCTGTATGGTGCCGAAAGCTGCTAGGAGGACACAGGCGTTTGTGGTAAACACCTAAATGTTATCTATTATCACTCCTATAGATAAAGGACCACCTTCAAACGTATCCATGGGGGGAAATGCCAAGCACTCGAGAGAAACAGAAAGACTTCATGGTGCAATATTATAAAAACCAATTCCTTTATTAGGTACTCATTGCACTTACTCAAGAGGTGTCCCAGCCGACACCAGCATCAACAGCATAACAGCAATCACATAAACGAGCCTGGCTACTCAGCACATGCGCAGTAGCTGGCAGCCAAAAACGTAATGACGTCACATCAATCAAGCTCTGCCCTACGCGTTTCGTCATCGACGTCCTCATCCGCTCCGTGAGGACGTCGATGACGAAACGCGTAGGGCGGAGCTTGATTGATGTGACGTCATTACGTTTTTGGCTGCCAGCTACTGCGCATGTGCTGAGTAGCCAGGCTCGTTTATGTGATTGCTGTTATGCTGTTGATGCTGGTGTCGGCTGGGACACCTCTTGAGTAAGTGCAATGAGTACCTAATAAAGGAATTGGTTTTTATAATATTGCACCATGAAGTCTTTCTGTTTCTCTCGAGTGCTTGGCATTTCCCCCCATGGATACGTTTGAAGGTGGTCCTTTATCTATTGGAGAAGTGGATTTTCGATTAACTACAAAGTTTTTCATCCTGTTATTTCGATCGATGAGGATCAGTGTGTTGCAGAGTTTCCGTTTCTGAAGATATATTTATGGATGATCTGCCATTATATTATCAAGGTTTTTTGGTGAAATTTTTCATATTTAGACACTTTTTTTGCACAAAAGTTTTTTGCACTTAAAAGTTTTTTTATATATTTTTTTGTGGTATTGGCATATATATATTTTTTTTTGACTTATGATTTGATGATTTCTTTATATATATTTATATATTTATACACATTTACTAGCGCAAATTATTTATTTATTGGTACACTTTATATATGGTGATTTTTTGCAGCTGGTACACTATTAGTAAGTTATATCATTTTGACCATAGGCGCTATTATTAATTTTTCTTATTATCACTCCTACCAAGGGAGGCCGAATTAAATAGGAAGGTGAGAATCACCTTCGTTGGGTCTGAGCTCTGCACCTATTTCTAGCCCTTCGTAGGAATGCCAATTAAACACAATGCAGCACCCAGAACACACACCGACTGATGCCCCCCCGGGGGCCGGGATCTGGCAATGAACATTTTCATTGTGAAGCAGAGATGGGACCAGAATCCTCTTCTCTGGCATCTCACATCCTCTACAAGTTCCATCAAGACTTCACTATAAAGAAATAGAAGGTTTCCCAAAACATCTGCTGGAGGTTTCAATGCTTCAACCACGACGCCATCTTTACCCGGGTTCAGGAACATACGCCGTATACAAGGCTTTACAGAACGCAATTGTCTGCCTGATTTTATCTCTTTTCTTACGTTTTTAGTAGATTTTCCCATTTTCTTCCATTCTGTTGAGACCAGCGAAGGCAATTTTTGGACCATGAAAGGAGGTAAGTGAGCGCTAAAACGGCTGAAATACCAAAAGGAACCAAAAAAGCCTTCCAAAGCATCAATATAAAGGTGGGTGCAGCGCTAAATATATATTACACGGTAGAAAGTGTCAAATGCGATAATCACAAAAAATTATAGAGGAGCAACAGAATATTTGCACATTGTGAGATCAGCGGCGTTCGATCTTCATCTCCAATGGCAGGCAACGAGGACAATATCGACCTTGTAGACGGAGCTGCATTAGGAGGACGGCAGAGTCATTGCTGACAGCAGAGGAAGCAGCGAGGGAACTCCAGACCAGACCATACATCTGGTGAGTGCGCAATTCTTATATTACCGGACACATCACCATACCATTGGATAGATGTTATAGATCACCAGCAACTGAAGATCATCATTGGATCTTCCGTACATCACCTTTATGGACATTTAATCATTTTATATCAACACTTTATTTAGCACCAGTGGTCACTTTATAGTGACAAAGATTTAGGTCATCACCTTATGGTTGTTGTAATACTCACCGCTTTTGGGGGAGCCCAATTCTTGTGTTGCCTGGGGGAGCCCAATTCTTGTGTTGCCTGAGGAAGCACAAGAAGTGAATACACTATTGGGTATAAGGCACTGAGAGTACTGGAAAGACTGGAATGCAAATCTCACTTGAGACATGGATACTGGGGAGTGAGTTGTAGGTATTGGGGCGCAGATCTCACCGGTGACACGGATACTGGGGAGTGAGTTGAGGGTATTGGCGTGTAGATCTCACTGGTGACACGGATACTGGGGAGTGAGTTGTAGGTATTGGAGTGCAGATCTCACCGGTGACACGGATACTGGGGAGTGAGTTGTAGGTATTGGAGTGCAGATCTCACCGGTGACACGGATACTGGGGAGTGAGTTGTTGGTATTGGAGTGCAGATCTCACCGGAGACATGGATACTGGGGAGTGAGTTGTAGGTATTGGAGTGCAGATCTCACCGGTGACACGGATACTGGGGAGTGAGTTGTAGGTATTGGAGTGCAGATCTCACCGGTGACACGGATACTGGGGAGTGAGTTGTAGGTATTGGAGTGCAGATCTCACCGGTGACACGGATACTGGGGAGTGAGTTGTTGGTATTGGAGTGCAGATCTCACCAGTGACACGGATACTGGGGAGTGAGTTGAGGGTAGTGGAGTGCAGATCTCACCGGTGACACGGATACTGGGGAGTGAGTTGAGGGTAGTGGAGTGCAGATCTCACCAGTGACACGGATACTGGGGAGTGAGTTGTAGGTATTGGAGTGCAGATCTCACCGGAGACACGGATACTGGGGAGTGAGTTGAGGGTAGTGGAGTGCAGATCTCACTGGTGACACGGATACTGGGGAGTGAGTTGTAGGTATTGGAGTGCAGATCTCACCGGTGACACGGATACTGGGGAGCGAGTTGAGGGTAGTGGAGTGCAGATCTCACCAGTGACACGGATACTGGGGAGTGAGTTGTAGGTATTGGAGTGCAGATCTCACCGGTGACACGGATACTGGGGAGTGAGTTGAGGGTAGTGGAGTGCAGATCTCACCGGTGACACGGATACTGGGGAGTGAGTTGTAGGTATTGGAGTGCAGATCTCACCGGAGACACGGATACTGGGGAGTGAGTTGAGGGTAGTGGAGTGCAGATCTCACTGGTGACACGGATACTGGGGAGTGAGTTGTAGGTATTGGAGTGCAGATCTCACCGGTGACACGGATACTGGGGAGCGAGTTGAGGGTAGTGGAGTGCAGATCTCACCAGTGACACGGATACTGGGGAGTGAGTTGTAGGTATTGGAGTGCAGATCTCACCGGTGACACGGATACTGGGGAGTGAGTTGTGGGTATTGGAGTGCAGATCTCACCGGTGACACGGATACTGGGGAGTGAGTTGTAGGTATTGGAGTGCAGATCTCACCGGTGACACGGATACTGGGGAGTGAGTTGAGGGTATTGGAGTGCAGATCTCACCGGTGACACGGATACTGGGGAGTGAGTTGTAGGTATTGGAGTGCAGATCTCACCGGTGACACGGATACTGGGGAGTGAGTTGAGGGTATTGGAGTGCAGATCTCACCGGTGACACGGATACTGGGGAGTGAGTTGTAGGTATTGGAGTGCAGATCTCACCGGTGACACGGATACTGGGGAGTGAGTTGTAGGTATGAAGTGCAGATCTCACTGGTGACACGGATACTGGGGAGTGAGTTGTAGGTATTGGAGTGCAGATCTCACCGGTGACACGGATACTGGGGAGTGAGTTGTAGGTATTGGAGTGCAGATCTCACCGGTGACACGGATACTGGGGGGTGAGTTGAGGGTATTGGAGTGCAGATCTCACCGGTGACACGGATACTGGGGAGTGAGTTGTGTATCTGTCAGTAATAAATGGTTTGTCTCATACCTGCAACTGCAAGGGAGATAAAATAACAGACTTACTGGCTGGATCACCAGATGAGAATAGAAGAAAAGAAAAAAAGCTGAAAAAAAGAAAACGAATGCAGCCATCCCATCTCTGACCCGACAAGCTGCGCTATAATAAATGTCGGCTTTTTGGGTTGAATACGGCTTTCCGTTTCCTTTTTATCGATCCGATACGAAGCCCGGCGTGTGACTCGCCAGACACAACGCCATTTGTGGATGACCGCATCTTTTTTTTCCGGAAAGCGATCTTGGAGCAATTATAAAAGAAATTTAAAAGCCGTGTTTTACTTATGAAAAAAAGTCGATTTGCGCCGTTCCAGTTGTAAAAAATGAGGGCGATTTATTTTGAAGCGTTGTGTATACCTGCGCTGCGACTAATCATACAGATTTTCCGTGCCGACGCCGACGCGTAAACACGGGGAATTCTTGTTGTCACACAGCGTGCATTGTGCCGGGCCGAGCGGCGCGGAGTCGCTTCCAGCGAGACCCCCTCTCCCCTGTCGCTCTCGCCCCTCTAATTACAGTCTAAACACTTCAAACGCCAGTTTACGCCGGGTGATAAATCACCATCGCGGGGGCCGGGGGTGTTTTCTTACCCAAACTGCGCCCCTGATTACCCTGCAAACGGCTTTCTCCATTCAGAGGGTAATTGGCTGGTACGGGGCGATTTCCTCGGCGGCAGCTAAACAAGCAGAAAGGCCTGAGAAGGTGAGATGGCGATTAACCTCCCGCTGGATGGAGGCGACTTTATTGTATGGCGGCTTCGGATTATTTTCCAGACCACCATTAGGGATCAGAGATGCCAGAGGCGTCCCTGG